TACTAGTACAGGAGGTATCTCCTATCCTCCTCCTATTTATTACTAAGCCTAAGCGCTGACAACATTGTCGCGTTATAAAGCTATTTTGGGCTCCGCTGTCCAGCAGTGCACGGACGCTTTGTTCGTTTCCACGTGAATCCCTAACCAAAATACGTGCCGTACCCAGTAACACGGTTGAAGAAGGTTGTGCTCCCATATTTGCCAATGAGCACAGAGCGACATCACCAGGTCGACCGCTAGAATCGTTGAGTTTAGTAGGGGTGAATTCCTTGTCCGCTTTACTTGACGCAGATATGTTGCTATTTTCGAAATGTAGCAACGTGTGATGTTTTCTGGCGCACTTGTTACACGCGGAACTAGAATTGCATTTTGCAACTAAATGCTTATCGCTTAAGCAGTTCAGACATAGGTTGTTTGTCTTTACTATTTTATAACGTTCGCTTGGTGAATTTTTACGAAAGGTCGCACAATTGTATAAATTACCGTGTTTATCTTTACATATGATACAGGCATGCTGAAGTGGTGCCGACGTAGCGGTTACGTACGTTAACGACCCTGCTGTTTTAGATGGTTGAGTCTGTCTACGGTCGACGCATTTTTTAATTTCTTGTTTAACGTTCGGGGAGCGCTGCATCACCTTAATTTGATCTCGCACAAACGATGCTAATGAATGAAAGGAAGGCATCTCCGAGCTACGATGCTCCATTTCAAACGCACGCACGGTGTCGGGGTCTAATTTCTTTAGTGCAATATGGAGAAACACCACGTCCATAAGGTCATTAAATTTAAAGTTCTTAAGTGCAGCCACCGATGCCACAAATTTATCTAAAAACTGCTCTAAGCCGTTGATGTTCGCGGATGATATAGGTTTAAGATCGAATATCTGGTTCAGCTATTCGGAAGCTAACATTCTCCTATCTTCATATTTAGTTTTAAGCGTTTCGAATATTAACAAGTAATTGTTTGCTGTAGGTGTAAAACCCGAGAAAATCGACTGTGCCCTGCCACTAAGTTTACTAATTAAATAATATAATTTTTCAGCGTCCGGTAACGATGGGTTATTATGTATATTGTTTTGAAAACTACTGAAGAAGAAGGGCCATGTCTTAATATTGTTACGCCGCGCTCAAATCGGCGCACTAGCGCCATCTAGTCTCGAACCGAAGAACTAAACTTCTTGAAGTTTAAAACTCGAACTCTCGGTACCTTGCGCGTGTTTACTTGAACATTCTGGATATTTTGCTAATTTATATAAGTAGGCGCTGCAAGATGCTATCGAGGTATACTTGATCTCGGCGACACAAGCGAAGCTTCGGAGCGGAATTAAGTGAATTAGTGTGTTTAATCATTAGTGTTTTAAGTTTTAATTTGTGTAAAGTAAATTAAAGTGTTAATTTAGGTAATTTTATCGGCAATTTTTATTGTCACGAACCCTAAGCTCGTAACAATATCACCATTGAATACCGGAATATCTATTGGCGGCAACCTAATTGAGTCATGTGGGCGTACCTGGATTTCCGGCTTTGCTTCGTTTTGAGATAGAGACTGTAAGAGCTTCGCCGTTCTTTTCACGCGACACAACATATCTTCAAATGCTAGAAGCGGTTGGTAGTTCGCTATATATCCGTAATCCGTCCGCAAAGAATCCACCGTTTCAATTTCATTTAAAAAAAGTTTCCCGCACTGCTTCTACATTAATGTTCTTTATGTGATCACTAATACTTTGTATACGTGAAAAAAGTATGTCCCTCTTGGCATAAAGCGTTTTAATTTTAATTTCATTTCCACTAACTGCCATTTTAAATTATTGTAATTAATATTATATTAATCACAATTAATCGCACAACGCTGGAGGATGGACACGCGTGCCGTATTACGTCGTTAAATTGAACACCTGTACAGCGAGCCGAGGTGACGCGCGTCGCTCGCTAAACTCAATATATTTTTATCAAAATTGTCGGGTAAGCGTACAAAACGCGTGTGATTACACTGTTTCAATTACTTAAGCGACTAATGAGCTTTAAATTTAAACCAAATACAAACACTATTTAAATGAATAATTCTATTTGCGAGTAACTAAACAAAATTTAAATTTAAACTAAAAGAATACTATTAAAATGAAAAATTAATTCTATTTGCAAGTAACTAACCAAAAGTTTAATTTTAAACTAAACGAACACTATTAAAATGAATAATTAATTCTATTTGCAAGTAACTAACCAAAGTTTAATTTTAAACTAAACGAACACTATTTAAGTCGATTCCATAAATTAGAGTGCATTGTCTAAGTAATTAATCCAATAATTCGACCAGAAAATGGTTGAACGACTACTAAACACCAGTCCAAATCCGGCTCGAACGACCATAAAATGGTGGAGCGACGAGCCTAAGGTTACCGAAGTCCCATTCCCCGGTCGAGCCTTGAACCTTTTTATAGGGATTTTTTTATAGGATAGGGTGACAAACGAGCACACAGTCCACCTGATGGTAAGTGGTTTCTGTGGCCCATAGTCATCTACATTAATCCTCAATTACGAATTAAAATGCAGATGCGTTGTCACCCGTGAGGACTAAGATGGAATGCCTCGTTTCCAGTAAAAAGGGTCTCCGGTTCTCTACACTCACCATACGAAATACAGCAGCATTAAGCTACTATTTCACGCTGGTATTCTGTGAGAGCGTGGTCCTTCCCCCCGTCGAGCCGACCCATTCGTGCTACAACTATACTTCTAATATAACTGCAGCATGGCTCTACCACGTATAATTACGCGAGATGTTAAACCCAAGTGGACTGTATATGCGAAATGCTTCTTCGTTTACACAAAATGGCGACTATAGCACGCGGTTTCCCATACAATGCACTCGCTCTTCCCTAAAACGAACTATTGCTTGCCAAAATCTATGAAAGGAATCCAGCTTGATTAGGAGAAAATGAAATTGGAGCGGATTAACTATTAAACACAATTATATCAAGCAGGAACTAGTAGGAATGTTCGCTCACCGGGGTGTTGCTTCTATGCGGCTTGGGCACTATGTTATGTTGCTGCGCTGCGACCTCTGGAAGACACTCTGGGGCCCCAGAAATGCTTTCTTGTCCGGTGATGCGTCGGGAGAGAGTGCGGTGCGCGACTATTTCTCACACGAAGTGAGGCGGGTTTCCTGGAGCTCGACTACTTCAGGCTAGCGGTTATACTAGCGGTGCGCGTGGGCAATAGCCCTTCTATGACACTATTGTCTTAAGCGGTGTGGTTCCAACGACGAGCGCGACGGGAAGAGAGTGCGCGTCGGCCGCGCGTGCCTTTTATTCCTTCGGTTGCGATGATCGCGTAATATTCTAGAATCATCTTCTCTCCCCTCCCACCCCACCGACGTGTCGATAGGAGGGTAGGAATATTATCGTTTGGAAAGGGATAAACGATTTGGCAAGCCTACCGCAAATATAAATAAAATACGAATGGTTTTCCGCGCAACCAATTTATATATATATATATATATATATATATATATATATATATATATATATATATATATATATATATAAAGAGGTGCTCCCATAAGGAGGAGCAGTGGACTTTTATAGCAGTGGTTCCCAAAGTGTGTGCTGCCCTGGTGCGCCATAGAGAGTAAAGAGGGGCGTTGTAGGTCGCTATTATTTATTATCTCCAGAAACTAAACTTATATATTCGCGGGTACAAAATAAACTAGAATTTCAGCTGTAGCTGTAATAAAGAGGAAATATTTCTCAATGATCAATGTGCAGCAAGAAATTAGAGTAGCAATGTCAAAAAATGTCTTATCCAATGCTGTAAAAAAATGTGTTGAGATCACCATACTCTCACGTCACATTGATTTTGTATTATTTTATTTTCTATTTTTCTTAAATAATAAACGTATTCTCTTGTGTTATTATAAAACTATCCACCTAATATTATTTTACCTGTACAGTCAGATAGCTTTATGTTTAAATATAACGACTACCTGGTTGCACATGAATATGGTAGGAAGGAGAGGAAATATTTATTTGCGTTTGGTTAAGGTACACTGAAGATGGTGGTATTAATTAAACATCCGCTTAATCAGCCATTATTAATGGCATGCAAATCTTACAAATATAAAATAATGCGATAATAATATTTATGAGTAAAATGTCTAATGTCAACAATTAATCAATAAATAGGTAATAGGTACTTAATAAATATTTCACAATTGGTCCAGTAAATTCATTCAGTCTAGTTGCTATTACGTATTGTAGTTTAAATATTCCTCTACAGTATAAAAAGCCTTTTCACTGAGCCATTTGTAAAATTCCCTTTTAAATTTAATGACAGGTAGGTCTTGAATTTCTTGTGGTATCTTATTATATACTGTCATACATAGACCTTACAGAGCCGAACTAAGTCACCTAGCAGTTCCTACTCTATCCCTACCATATAAATTAACTAACTAATAATACTCTAGCCCTACCATATAAATTATACATACATAAATTACATAAGTATGGGATGTCTGTACCATGAGATTTTAGGTAACAGACGGAGAGATAGGTCTCTCCGTCTGTTACCTAAAATCTCACGGTACAGACATTCCCAGTCCTAGTCCTAACGTCAGGGTTAGGTGATGGGTTCTTTCGCTGCCAGTCATACACACTCACTAGACTGATCAGGGGTTCTGACGGCTAAAGGTATCTTGGCTGTAGTGAGAAGAAGGTCTTATAAGGAGTCTCGCGCGGTGATAATGAACACGTCGTCGAGTATTGGAAGAGGATTTTATTAACAAATCATTACAATTTATACAAATTCATTGAGGTCTATATTAGTCACTAAGTATTGGTGTGCGTGATTTCTGGTAACTCAATCACAGTGTAGCTGCGTTGTATTGTTCAGAGCTGAACAGTACCCTATTTCGAGTAGCTAGGGCACCGAGATAAAATACAAAACCGTAAAAGTTTGGGAACCCCTGTTTTATAGGTTGTAATGGATAAATTAAATTAAACTTTTTAGATAAAATTAGAGGAGCCGATTAGGTACCGAGCCGGCGACCCCGTGGAGCGATGGCTGAACGCGCTGCTGTGCCTGGAAGCGCCTAGCGCAGGGCCGGGCGCGGGCGCGCCGCCGCCCGCCGCGTGCGAACTGCTGCGCGTGAACCGCGACGCGCTCTTCTGCTATCACCGCGCCGCCGAAGCCTTCCTGCACCGCCTCGTCGCGATATACGTCGCCAGCCATTACAAGGTGACTTTTACTAATTTTGCTTAAACCATCCACAGCTACCAAAATTTCCAGGTTTTTGTGCCTAATTTGTCAAAACCTTCCATTAGCTTCTAATTATTTACTCACCTCAGGATCATAACAAGGTTTAAAATTGGCTCAAATCAGGCTCAAATCCATGTTGGTTATACTGCCGTTACCATAACAGCGTATCAAAGTTCACAGCTAAACATAGGCCTCCCCCATAGATTGCCTCATAGCGGGATATTTGCCTCATTTGCCGGGTTGACAGGCGAGCTAGCTAAAACATTTTGTAAGGTATAGTCAGTCCAGCGTACTTGTATATGTAGAGGTCAGTGAGTAGTGGATATTCTTATACCGCCACTACACGGTTAATGGTCAGTTATACGATCATTAGCCTTTAAAAGTCCATACTACACATAAACCTCTTCCGTTGTAAGGATGATTTGCCTTGGTACCGTAGATTCTGCTCCTTGTCTTTGGTCTAAGAATTTTATTTCTGAGGTAAACAAAAGTACCTTAAGAGCCAAGAGGTCGTAAGCGACACCCATAGAATGAAATAGGTTTAATGGACTCTATTTTGTGACTTTAATTTTTTTCTTTGTCTTAATTTTCGTAATAAAGTTTACAACATTGTGAGTGAATAACAGTTGAATACAATTAAATCCTTTATCTTTTCTGTTTCACAGAACAGTCCGAATGATATTCAGCTTTTGGCAGACGCGCCGGCACATTGTCTGTTTGTCCTTTTGGCTCCAACCCCGCCCAAGTCTACTTCAATGCCTGAAGTGCTGTGTGTCATACAGATGTGCCTCGAGGGAAATATTTCTGATAAGTATGTTTTTCTTGTGTTTAACTTTACGTCCACGTTAGGATTTTTTCCTATATCGTGTAGTGATTTCTACAAATATATTAATTGCACATAAACCAACATCCTGACCTGAAATGATTATTTGTGGGCTATAAAAATGGTATTTAGTACCGAATCTGTACCATGCTGAGCCGTCACATAGATTCTAAATTACATCTAAATGTTCTATATTGTTTTTATATTATTGTTTTCAGTACCTGGATGACATGGATGTATTGTTTTTGGAAATCGTGTTTGTAAATTATATTTAGATACAAATTACATACTGATGACATATGAATAAAAATTTTCGAACTTCTCGATCATTATTTTTCATGTTTAAAAAATATACTAAAAAAAGGGTTCCAAATAACATATTTTCTCACAAAAGAAGGAACTTGAAAAAGAAGGAAAAAAGAGTCAGACCGTAGACATTTGTACTCGAACCGGCGTTCTATGATTTCAGCTCCTCCCGATATACCATTTGAACTGTTATAACCTTTTAGACAACGGCAAAATTTACTTTCGTATTCTAATGATATTGTCCCTAAAGCGAGCAATTATTGCACCAGTGTATAAGTCTGGTGACAGAAGATACATCAAACTATAGACCTATCTCTGTTTTACCAGTCATCTCAAAAAATCCTAGAAAAACTTAAATAATCGGCTAATATCTTACTTGAATACATACAAGCTGCTTTCTGACCATCAATTCTGATTTAGAAAAGGGATTTCTACCGAAGATGCCGTAATTAAATTGACTTCTCTTATCGTGGACAATGTGGATAAAGGTAACAAATGCTTAACTGTATTTTTAGACTTGAAAAAAGCCTTCGATACCGTGTCGGTACCTACTTTAGTACGAAGGCTCGAAAACATAGGTATAAGAGGAATCCCTTTAAAACTCTTTGTTGATTATCTCACTGGGCATGAACAATGCGTGAAAATTGGGCCCTATGTAAGTGAAAACCGTGACGTGACTTGGCGTTCCCCAGGGTAGCGTGCTTGGTCCAACCCTATTCTTAATATATATTAACAATCTATGTTGTACAAAAATCAGAAGTGGACAGATATTTTCTTACGCGGATGACACAGCTGTTGTCTTTACGGGGCGGACTTGGGATGATGTACGTTCAGTAACAGAGAGAGGTCTTGCCGAGATAGGCAGTTGGTTAAATAATAATCTCTAACTCTCAATACCACCAAAACTAATTACATAACTTTTTCAAATTATAATAATTCACAACCGGAAACAAAGGAGACAATCAATTTTTCTATGGAGAATGGGCCCACTACAAATTTTAAAGATTATCAATGAAATGCATGTCGATTTATTCCTTATAATCCATAGATTACAATAAAATTATTAGTTTTACTGCATCTAAACGGAGTCCTGAGAAATTAACAAATAAAATATGAATCTAACAATAACCTAAAAACAAACTGAAAGCGATTTTCTGGTAGTATTCATCGGTATTATAAGTTAAAATAGTGCACACTTGAATAATAGTACATATAAAACTAAGCTGTAGATATATTCAGCATTTATAAATATTTTAAAATCGATGTAAAACCTTTCACTAGTTCCAGCAAAACATAGTGCCTGTCTATGCACAAATGTCGTATGGATTCTAAGTTTGACATGTATTGATTGATTGTGAGTGTAATTCTAAATACCAAGATGGCTAAGGGATAATGTCTATTTATATTTGTGATATTACCAACACACAGTAAGATATGTTTTAAACTGGTTGTATTACAAAGAGAAATTAACAAATAAAATATGAATCTAACAATAACCTAAAAACAAACTGAAAGCGATTTTCTGGTAGTATTCATCGGTATTATAAGTTAAAATAGTGCACACTTGAATAATAGTACATATAAAACTAAGCTGTAGATATATTCAGCATTTATAAATATTTTAAAATCGACGTAAAACCTTTCACTAGTTCCGGCAAAACATAGTACCTGTCTATGCAAAAAAATGTCGTATGGATTCTAAGTTTGACATGTATTGATTGATTGTGAGTGTAATTCTAAATACCAAGATGGCTAAGGGATAATGTCTATTTATATTTATGATATTACCAACACACAGTAAGATGTTTTAAACCGGTTGTATTACAAAAAACAAAATATAATGTAGTTAATTCTATTTATTATTGTAAATCGTAATTTATTTAAGTATTCTATTAACAGTAGTAGGTACAGAAACAGAAACCTTTTATTCAATTTAGATTATAAATAATACTTATTGAAAGTCACTTTTTTAATTTACCACTGGTTCGGAAAAAACCTCTGACTTGAAGAGAACCAGCAAAATACCCAGTGTGTCTTTTAAAAAAAGCCAGCTTACAATCGTATGTCATAATTAACAACACAGAACAAATTAGAAATAGCTTGATAGCGATCATCTTACCCACGGGTTATTGTCAGCCATAAATTCCTTTATACTATAATAACCCCTTTTATACAAACTTAATTTAATAAATTTTTTGAACTTTGATGATTGACTGACATATATAGACAGGAGCGGTGTCAAGACATTGTTTTAATATGTTTTGGTTGATTAGTAAGTAGTATACATCATAATAAAATGACTAGGAATTAACATGCCTTATCTATGTTATTACACAATGATAAATAGTGAGGAAGTAAGATGTTTCAAACTGTTTGTGTAAGTATTACAAAAACACAGGCTTAATTTAAATGTATTTATTACTAGCGATGCGGCTCAGCTGCAGCACTGGTGATTTATGGATCTCGGCAACAGTGCCATCTACCGGGTCCAAATGTAAATATAAACCATCTAGAGATCCATCAAATACACACAAACATTTTCATTTAAATTGGTTGGATGGTTTCTTATGTTTTGTCTATAACGGACATAGGTAGAAACATTTTAGTGTTAGATATATTTCTGAAGGTTTTTTTGAAAATAACTTGATGGTAACATGTACATTTATGATATTGTAAGCAATCAGAAGGAATTTTCAATTATAAGAGATATGATATAAGACTGTTGTCTTCAATATCCATACACTTTTTGTCTCTGCAAGCTTTCAGCCTGCACGGCATACAGATTTGTTCTAAGCGATCCACCTGAAAAGAAGTTAATGACAATTGTAAAGGTGTCTTAACTAAATAATAATTCTTATCAATATATTATTTTTTTCTATATTATATAGGAATTAAAAAGACATTTTTAATAATAAGAGATATGAGATAAGACTATGCCTTCAATGTCAATAAACTGTATTTACATATTTCTGTAAGCATTTTCTTATATCTGCCATTCATATGTTAAATAAAGAAATTATTATAAACTATACAGCATTAATCAGTTCCAGCTGATCAAATACAGGAGCAGTAATTACTGATCAACATCTATGATATTCAACCATGTAAAAGTTGTCTCACATTTTATTTTTACTGGTTTCATGTACATAGGAGACAAAGATATTATTGTTATATTAAGTATATCTGATTCTAGATGACAATATAATATTCCTTTCTGCATAGTGAACAACACAGCTGTCTAAGCATAATAGATACAACCTTTACACTTTTTTTATGCAAACTTTATATTTGCTTCTAGTACAAATAATTACTACATTTTTTACACATAAATATATTATGTAACATTTATATTGCCTATCTACTATGGCTGGTATAAATCCAGGATCTGTGTCTGGCTTAACGAAAAAGCCATTTAGTATTAAGCAACTTGCTGAATACATAAGGTACCTATTTGTACACAAATGTAGTTATATGAATTGCTCTTCAAAACCCTCTTTAAGTCCCTCGACCCAAAGATTCTAATTTTTTTTAACATTATAATAAATTATTTTGTGCATTTATTCTATTTATTATGTATTTAATTTAGATTTTACTAATAAAATAAACTTAATACTTTGTCACTTTTAACAAACTAATAAGGTTCTAAGACCTGTTTATTATTTGTATTTATTTTGTTTTAGGTAAAATATACAAACTTAATAATAGATTTTCACAACCTAGAATAGGTGTAAATTATAAACTCTTATATTCTATTTGCGAATTTTACCACAAAAACTATAAAGATAAAAACATACGTACTTCTGTCAATTAATATTTGGCTAACCTTTCTGATAAATGATAATATCCATATTTTCTTAAACATTAGTTTAATAATGCTTGTAAATAAAAACTCCATTTTGTTCTTACCATAATGATGCGACTCGAACCATGTTTTATTTCACTCGAGAGAATCGAGTGAAAATAAATTTTACCGAGTTACCGAGTTAACTCGGCGCATCATATAGATTCGGAGGGTGCTATATAGATATTACTTCACTAATTTACTTGTATATATAATAAGTCGCTGCAGGTGACATCACAAGTTGCATCCAAATTCAAACTTGCATCTGGCATGTTGTAAACAAACCTGAACTTCGTTTTATTTATGATATTGATTTATAGTTTTAATTTCACATATTACTTATTTATAAAGGTACATATTTAAAAAATTGTTTAACTAAAGTAATCGCTACTCTCAACTCTAGTGATAAACTTTTCTGTAAATAGTTGATTTACTCAAAAACTAGTGTACAACTAGAATGACATACATACATACTCGTAAATTAACCCGAGTGGCTCGAGTCACAAAACTCTACTCGAATCGCATCTTTATCTTACGGCCAATGCAGTGTTTGTCTACAATTTAATGATTAAATCGACTTACTAATTCGAGCAATTTATTGATATATTATGTAATAAATAAATTGATATTAGGTAATATGTATATAATGTTGTATCAATTTATGTTATACATAATATAAATTGATTATATATATACTTTGGATAGTCAAATTATTATTAACACTTACGTCATAACGTTAGAGTGATATTATTTTATGAAGATATCGATACGCATACCAAAAATAATATATAACTACCTATTAAGTGTAGTAATAATAATTGTGTTGTAAGGAAGAACAATTATAAAAATAATTTGTGACATATTGACACAGCTTCGTTCATCTAATTTGAATTGTTTAACTCGAGCTCAAAATCGAGTTGCCTGAATTTCAACTCGTTTCGATTTTTTCCGAGTTATCACGGCACATCTCTAAGACAATAATTTTTTAAATATTACATTACCTTAGCCAATGAACAGAACATGAATGTCAAAACAACTAATTTTTTTTCAGATTTCTTGTTTCCGTTTACATTTTCGAAAAATCTATAGGCCATTTACTATTATAATTTGGTGTCTTTTTTTTGGTGTAAATACCATTAAACGACGTTAATATTTCTAGTGGGCCCAAAAATGATTGTCTCCTTTTGAAATCAAAATACACACATGTTCTGAATTATCCAACCCTGATTGTACTTGGAACAAAATATCAAAAGTAGACAAAACAAAATATTTAGGAGTAATAATTGACCAGCGTCTAGGCATACACATCTTGAACTGATGATGACTAGGATGCGGAAACTTAATTGGATTTTTAAAACTCCTAGACATATAACAGATAAGACCTTACTGAGTCAAATATATGTTTCATTAGCTCAGTCCATTTTGACATACTGTATCCCAGTTTGGGGTGGGGCCACTATAATGAAGTTCCTGGAACTAGAAAGAGTACAGAGATTATTATTGAAAGTGATGCACTTTAAGCCCTACAGATTCCCTACTAAAGAGCTAAACCTATGTGAACACCTTTCGTTAGGAAGCTGTATATCTTAACTATGTATTAAGGAAAGAGTGTATATAATGGGGGGGCCCAGTAGTACCCATGAAAACGAAATTTGCTAGGAGGCAATTTAGAAGTCAGTCTGCTCATCTCTATAACTATACTAATAAAAAACTCAACATATATGCAACGACCAAGCATAATGTGAAAAAACAAGTTACAGCGTGGTTAAAGACGATAGAGTATGAAGAAACTGAAAATTTATTGAAATAAATAGAAAAATTACACCATAGCATAAATGCTTTTCACAGCACACGCACATACATACACACACATACACATGCGCGCGCGCACACACGCACGGACACACGTACGCACGCACTACACGCACTCATCACACACACACACACACACACACACACACACACACACACACACACACACACACACACACACACACACACACAGAGCGCGCGCGCGCGCGACCGCACTCACTCAATTTAAATTCTTTACGTATGCGCAGTTTTATATGTATCTAAAATTGTTATGGAAGAGCGGGGTCCCCTAACACAGGTATTGATATACTTAAAAGGAGACCCCAGCCTAGTTAATGTATTTAAATTTAAGATACTGAATAAAGAATTTTGAATTTGAATTGTAGCAGTTTTTTACTGCCTGAAAACATGGATATAACGACATTTCCTAAAAATGAGTCCTAGCTAGATCGATTTATTGATGATTTTCCTATTATTTGTTTTTCTTATTCAGGACGGTTCGAGATAGCCTGGGCCGTGGACGAAAAGCAGCCGGTGATTTAATTCCATGGAATATTTGCGAACAGTACGGTGACAAGGATTTCCCCAAACTGTCCGGAGCGAGGATAGTTAGGATAGCCACGCATCCGTCTTATCAACGGGCAAGTCTTTTTTGAATGCATATCATAAATTTACTAGTTTTGCGTGCGATTTAATTCGTGCACACATGTCTCTATGCATCCTTTTAAAATTGGCACACCACGTTTAAAACTTACATATTTTTCTTATTTGTCAACGAAGTTAAATGAAATCAACACCACATATTGGGATGTTTACCTGCCACACTTTGCAGATGGGTAGGTAAATGCAGTTTTTTAAAAACTTATTTAGAGTCGTTGTGATTGATATTATATAAAACGAAAAAATTACACTAAAAAGAGACAAACACATACGTCTATAGGATTTACCCCGCGAGAGAATGAGATAGAATACAGTGTATTATTTAGTGTCTATTTGACGTACCACCTTGAGAGTCCAATCAATTCTTGTTCGATAAAATGACTTTACCTATAGAAAGTGTTAAGAGAATATTGATTTATTACATTAAAATTAAGTCTAAAATAAGGATTGTAACATTTATTTGTTATAAAATTAAACTTTTATCTTAAAGATTTATATTGTAGATATGATATTTTTTATATTTCCCGTGAAATATTTTTTTCGTTTTTCTAGTGTGCATCTTTGTTTGTACACTCTATCGCCTCTTACAACACCCACGGGACGATATGGCATTGGATTACCTCGTTGGTAAGCACGACTGCTGATCATGATGAGGTCTTGGGTTCGTATTCCGGGTCGTTTTATACGTGGTAGAGCCACGCTGCAGTTATATTATGGTTGTAGCATGAATGGGTCGGCTCGACCGGGGAAGGACCACGCTCTCACAGAATACCAGCGTAAAATAGGTTTAATATTGCTGTGTTTCGTATGATGAGTGTAGAGATCCGGAAACCCTTTTTTACTGGAAACGAGGCATTCCATCTTAGTCCTCAGGGGTGACAACGCATCTGCATTTTGATTCTTAATCGAGGATAAATGTAGATGTCTATGGGTCACAGCATCCACTTACCATTAGGTGGACTGTGTGCTTGTTTGTCACACTTATTCTATACAAAAAAGGCAAGATCAGTTATTGGGAAGAGGTCCATATCCAATATGGACTTGCATTTGGCTCATTCCTGACACGCCTCTCGCTTCTTTCATATCCACATCTACGCGTACAAGCTCGTCGGTTAATAGTACACTAAATTATGCCCATCTTCAATATATCGCCGATTTTGTTTATAAACTTCCGACTGGGGCGTACTTTTTCGACTCTACCACTCACTTCTACCAACTGATAGCTGACACATCATTTTAAAGTGTAAAATATTGTTGAATTTAGATGGGATATGGGAAGAGGGCACTTCAGCAGCTTGCTGCGTACTACTCTGGTGACATTCCTTGTCTGGATGAAGACGCCTCGGACGACGAGGAGCAGGCAAACGGACAAGCAAACACGTTGCAAACTGAAACGATTGTGCCCAGGTAAAAACCAATTTAACATAATACCCATCATAATAAATATTTGTTGTCATATTATACTTTCTCTCTCTCTCTCTCTCTGTCTTTCCATTTATCTAGTCCAGAACTAATTATAGAATTTAATAGAATAAAATTATTTGTATTGAATATAGATAACAAGAACACTTATTGAAAGTCAATTATGCTTTTACCATTAGTTCGAAAAAATCCTCTGTCCTGGGAAGAACCAGCAAGAAACCTAGCGGAAATATCTTTTTAATTTTTTTTTAAAACGTTGATCACATTAGGATTTTCTCCTTATTTTTTTTTAAATTTATTATTAAATAATGAATTTATAAGACAGTGGTGTTACTTAATTCTAAACTCGCCAAACTTTTACGTTTGATGGCGAGAGGCGCTTTTTTACATAGCAATGAACCACCTTATGTACTCCTAATATTGGACACAATAATACACAATTACATAGATAACACAGTAATATATAAATCTATGACATCTTGTTGTAATGTTAACTTCATGATCTTATATATATTTAACTTTATTTATATTACTGTATCGTGGGGGCAATTTACAAACATAAATTTCACAAGGTCAAATACCCGGATCCGGAACAATTACTTGTAGGCCATGCAAATACTTGTTCCGTGCGGGATTCGAACCCGCGGCCCCCAGCGCAGCCACTCATTGCTAAGCTAGTGCGCCACGGAGCCGTCAAATATTAATTTATAATATAATATGTTGTACAATTAAATATGAAAACATTTAGGATCTGCATGGTAACGATCACCCCATTCCCCTCATATATTATATTGCTACTAACTTTTTTATCTATACCAGTAATCAATGTGTTGAAGTACTACTGTAAAATATAATAGTGGTAAATTGCTTGCTTGACTAAATGGTGGGAGAAAGTTTATTATCTGCCGCATCTTCTATTGGATTGTTACTACCACTAATTACTACTGAAGGTAATAATTTACATAAAACAAATATTTGCACTATCTCATGTCCTTGTCCTATTATATTTCTATCAAAATTTTCCTTAAAGTCTATCACAACCAACACCAGTCAGAATTATCATACATTAGACTTGGTAAACAATGACATATTAAACATTATTTTCAGGACGAAGCCACCAACTTTGTTGAAAAGGTTGACAGAAGTCAGGGCTGAACACCTGGACTACTTGGGAACAAGTTTTGGTCTAACCGAGGAGTTGCTTAAATTTTGGAAGTCACAGAAATATGTGCCGGTTTACTTAAGGTATGAGCTGTTGGACTTGTTAATTAGGGTTCCGTAGTCAACTAGGAACCCTTATAGTTTCGCCATGTCTGTCTGTCCGTCCTCGCTTAATCTCTGTGGCCGTTAGCACTAGAAAGCTGAAATTTGGTACCAATATGTGTAATCACGCAAAGTGGTAAAATAAAAATTGGAAAAAAATGTTTTATTAGGGTAGCCCCCCTATATGTAAAGTGGGAAGTGATTTTTCTTTAATTTCAACCCTAACGTGTAATATATTGTTGGAAAGGTATTTAAAAATGAATAGGGGTTTACTAAAATCATTTTTTAATAATGTCAATAATTGGAAATAATCGCTCCAAAATTAAAAAAACAATGTGTCCCCCTCCCCTCTAACTTTTGAACCAGAGTTTAGAAAATATGGAAAAAAATCTTAAAAGTAGAACTTTATAAGGACTTTCTAGGAAAATCATTTTGAACTTGGATGGAAACAACAGTACCCACTACCGGGAGCAGTTGCAGGAGCGCGGAGCGCTGCTGGAGCGAGAATATAATGGATACCCACCTTTAAACTCATAAGTGGGAACACTTATTGTGACGGACGGGAAACTACGGAACCCTACACTGAGCGTGGCCCGACACGCTCTTGGCCGGTTTTTTTAGCTTTATAGCGTTTCACAACTGTTTGGTCTAAGTTGTTCCTATAGATTGAATCGTGGGGAGATATTTGCCGTAGTTGCTATTCTTGGCGGGCGGGTTGCGAACCGCAGTTTTTTAATTTTTAGTCATTATTAGGATGACCATGCAGCCCAAATTCTAGTTTGTTTCCCTCTGTAGCATCTTATCGTGAGTTTGCGCTGACGCGATTTTCACAAAAAACGTGTTTTAAACACTGTTTTCTGTCAATGTATCAAAAAGCGTTTGCATAGTCAAAGAATATGTTGCTTTGAAACATGTTTGACAGTTTATTGTACATTACATATTTTAACTATATTATATCTTTATAATTACAGAAACAAAATGTTTGAAAACAAATTTGTAGAAATATTGTCCTGTTGAAAGATAAGTTTGAATATCTGTTGAAAATTTTACACAGTTTTTGTGAGTGCGAACGCCACCATCAACAAAACGTGTTGTGTGATTTATTTTATGCGATTTGTATCAAAACATTACGTGTTGGATGTTTCACAGTGCAAATATACTGTTACATCACCCACGTGATGATATCGGGCAAGCGATATTTCTGCACCGCAACTACACGGTGATATTTTGATAGAAAAACATATTTCAAGCACCAGTGTTTAAACGTGTCATTGCTGGGCAAAGGTCAGAATTTTTGAAGATTACTGTTGGATTTTACCATGCCGCTCCAGTCAGCCTACCAAGCTTGTTTGTTAGGGTTACATTAAACTATTGCTTCACTTATAAGCACTGGGTACTTAAGTATTTAAAATTGCCATCAATATAAAACAAAAATAATGAAGGCAGTAAGACTTCCTTTCTACCTAGGAATCCATCAAGGTAAGTAACATCCGGTCAGAAGATAGAGAGCCAGTATAATTACAGGCTGTGGCGCATTCCATCTCAGTCCTCAGAGGTGACAACGCATCTGTTACCTTTGTTTGAAGTTGCAGTAGCCACTTACCATCAGGTGGACTGCGTCATTTTTCATTTCGATTTTATTTAAAAAAATTAAGATTATTTTTGTAAGAATTTTTTAAAAAGTTATATAGTGTTTTACAACGCTCCTTTAGCAATTTCTACACCTTCACTATTTTATTGAATTGTATATATTTTTCCAATCACACAGTCAAAAAGCGAACGAGTTAACTGGCGAGCATTCGTGTATAATGCTGCGGTCGCTTTCGGAGAGTGCGTGGCTCGCGGCGTACAGTGCCGACTTCAGGAAACGCCTGTCGAGATTGTTATCCCGAAGTCTAAGACGATTGCCTGCTTTGCTCGCACTCAGTACTCTTCTCAACGACAACATAAAGATTGATAAGCCTGGTAAGTAAAAAACTCTATTTGACCTTGAGTTATCGTCTTCATTAAAATTTTAAACCCATTCTCAGATTGTTTGTGGTATTTGGATTTAGTATTTTTTGGATAGATTCTCTGCTATTAGTCGGTCAACGGTAATACACCCATTTATTGTCGTTCTCCGTACGAGATCGGAAATCCGCATTCAATTAAAGACTACTACCACACATACACATTCTTTGCTCTTTATTTATTAAACACATTATCCCCATCGCCACTCTGTATATTGACTGGCAGATACGAGATAGTAAAAGAATAGTTCTTTCTGGGATTTTCAATAGCACAATTGCTGTTATATCACTGTCAACAGTAAGATGGGAAAGCGCAATACTTCATTACAATACATTTTGTTTTACTCTGACGGAGTAAGATTGCTCCTTTTGGCCTAAATACTTTATTTCCTTTGTATAGCAACACTCTAGCTATATTCTAGCTACAACACTAATGAGTTGCTCGATTGAGTCCGGACCGGACCGGGATAACAATTTGATGTTGCTGTGTTTTATATGGTGAGTGACAAGTACTGAAGATGCTTTTCACTGCTAACAGGACATTCCATCTTAGACCTCAGATTTAGCTCAGCATTAGCATTTTGATTTTAATCGAGGGTAACTAATGTAAGTGTCTATGGGCCAAAGCCTCTTTCCATCAGGTGAATTATGTATTTTCTTATTACCATTTAACTTTTAGCAGCTCAGCAGGTGTAGTATGAGTGTGTTGAGACTCGTCGACAAAAACCTGACAATAGTCAACCATAGACAATATTAATTCACTAATGTAAATGTAATAAAAATGTAAATGAAATATAAATTATATTTCAGAACTAACAAAGCAGCTGATTTCTGAACAAGTGTCAGGCCACGACCTAGGACGTTTGGAAGCGTACTGCCGCCAACAGGCAGATTACCGACTCATCACCGACCTCATCACCCCGCTGGCTCACCTGTTATTCCATACTCGAGTTCCGGTCAAACTCGACGCCGTGCAACAGGTCTGATTTTTTACAATTTTATTTCTGTGTCACATAACAAGATATGTTTTTATAATGTTACGTGCTTAGGGTTCGTGACAATAAAACTGCCGATTAAATTATCAAAATTGACACTTTAGTTACTGAACACCAGTTAAAACTTAAAACACACTAGTAATTAATTACTCTTATCACTTTAGTTCACTTTATTTTGCTCCAATTCAATACTGCCCCGGTCGCGCTCCTGACCTACTTTATATAGGACCTTTTCCACCGAAAACATCTAGAATGTTCGAGTAGAATGTCGAAAGTTCTAGCAAAGAATCCTCCAGAAAGCCCTGGCCACTCGACACTAAATGGCGCTAGTGGAAAAGCTCTAGAAAGATCTTGACGCTCCTATTTCTGCGACTTGATACTAGATGGCGCTAATAATCACCCGCCATATACCGTGCATTAATTATGGCGCGCAACAATAATATTAAGGAAATAAAGCATTTAAAATATCAACTTTTTATACCGCCTATAAGAAATATAAAGAAAGCACCTAAAAATTGACGCATCTGTATCTATTTTAGTCTGTTCGGTTTAATCGTTAATAAGAAAGCAAGTTTCCCAAACTTTGTTGTTAGATAGCGGCTGCGTTAACCTCGCGCTGCGAGCCTCTTACCACAAAGCTGCGCTTGCAGAGATAGGGGACGCCTATCTCACAGATTGCTATATTTAAACTAAAGTTGTTCAAAACAACTGTAAATCAATAGCACGCTACAGACTACAAACTATAAATTTCTAGCGCGCTATTAAATACGCTATGTTATAGCGCGCTATTTGTAAGAAAGCGTGGAGGAGGCCGGCAAGCGCGTTAAGTTTTGCAGCACGCTGTATCTCGTAGCACGTTACATTACGTCGTTCATTGGATAGACCGCGTGCTATATAAGAACATTATTTCGTAATAAGTCGCATTTTAGACTAAAATAAAATAAAGCGGTAAATAAAAACCAATGCACGCTTCTTCATAATTTTTAGGCTTACGACTTTCTATAATCCTAAAAATATTTTTAAGACATGTACTTTTTAAAACGAAATAAAATTAATTATTTTTTTAATATAAATTACAAATATAATAAAGGTGTATTTAAAAGTTTATTGATTGTATTTATAAAAATATTTATAAACACTATTATATACACTTATGTATGTATATTTTACTTACATTTAAAAACATTAGTTAGGCTTCTTTCGTAGCAGACAACTGTGTCCTTCGATCACTTATAAATATACATTATACACTAACTAAACAACGTCTAACACTAAATTAGGTCGCGCGAACAGCGTGATACTATGGTTCATAAAAGATAGCTTGATCTCTGCGAAGGTCATTATAAATGTATATAAGAATCAGGTGGCGTGATTTTTAGTGAGAGGTTTTACTAAATCAAATTTGCGTCACACGTCCTCTCCCAACAGCGCTGCTGCTAGAACTAGTTGCCATAGCACCAAAGCGCAATAGCGCCATGGCGACTACTTACATAGCGAGCGCTATGTGTTATGGAGGGATAGCGCCCTATAATATGGCTATACGCTATGATATGTTATCCACCATTACTTTAAACGACTGTCGTTATTGCGAGACATTTTCGTAATATTTATCAACACTGTAGAATAAACTATAGTGCTATTGAAATACTCTTGGAACTACCGCGCTTAGTGTTATATCACCGTGGTCGAATTCTTCTAAATTTAAACAATACGTTTATTTTTGCATCATAATTTAATAGTTTTTTGTTTGTCCTTTAATAATCATGTTATTAACAAAACACTTTTCAGGTGATATTCGTGGGGATGGGCTTTCAAATGAAAGATGTCGACGACATAGCCGCGGAATTAGGCCTCCCCGGCTCACAAATCCTCGCTAAATTTTACGAAGCGTGTAAGAAGATAAACATTGCTGTCAACTCCGTTTTAGAAGATACCGTAGCCAAAGAGATCGGAATAGACGATAAAACTGCTGACGTGAACATAGACGGACCGGTGAAGCAGAGTCTAAATGCAGAGTTGTCCAAAGCTGCGAAGGTACTTTTTGGTTTTGTAATTTTAGGCGTAGTGGTATGGAAGTTTAGTAATAAATGAGTTTTTCTAAAAGATTTTTTTATTTCTTAGAATGTGTAAGTTTAAAGCTGTCAGTTTTATTATAAGTGAAGGAAAATAGATGATTTTAACTCAATATTTTAATTACATACGCCGTTCTTCTCGCGATTGACTGAATTGACGTCCACTGATGAACCTTGGCATTCTCATAAACTTGCATCATAAGGGTATGTGACTGCTATGTTCATTGACATTGGAGATATTTGCCAAGTGCTACGTATTAGAGCTACGCTGTGGCTATAATAATATATTTATTTCTTACCACACACGACATGGAAAAGATACATTGGTGTATCTCTATTTTAACAATATTATGTCATTCGTGGGAGACTGGTGCCCGTGCAGGTTCAAAGATCCGTATTACAGGTCACCAGCCCCCCCCCCCCCCGAGAATTATATAGAGCGGATTAACTGTTTGGATACATAGAAATAATAAATGAAAACCATATAACTAACCAAGACATATAAATATAACTTCAACGTATGTATGTGTGACTGTTAGTAAGTTGTCCGTGTGTATGTTTGTGTATATTTGTGACATTATTTGGAGTAATTAGTTAGTGTCTGTGTATGAATGAGTCTGAAGATATTCTACGAGTCTATTTTACATGACCAACTGTTGACTTCGTAAATACAGTGGACCTCCGGTAATCCGACAAACATTTTGCAGGCCAGTGTCGAATTAGTCGGATTATAGAGTACTGCCTAAGGCTTTTTATAGTCCGGAATTTTTTACAAAAGAGTACCTTGTAATCCGACAAATTACCGATCCAATGATAATATTCTATATGTTACATATTTTTACCCTGAAGTACAAATCGTACTTCATTATGTATGTCAAATTTAGTAAATTATACAACACAATAGAGAGCTTACGATTTCTTATAAAATTAACGTCATTAATGCTATAGAACTTACAAAAAATATGCAATAACTACATTAGGAAATAATTGTGTACAAACAAATGTATGTATTCAATAATTAATAGACTATGTCGGATTACAGGGGGAGCCGGATTACCGGGGGTCCACTGTAGACAAATTTTGGTGTAATTTATTGTATAAATACGATAAAAACGTGAAAATGGAAAAGTAAAGAAGGGATTTGAAATTGTATGTTGTCTTAAAAACTTATTCACAAATAAGTGTGAACTGTAAGAACTGCTAATTTTATTTTTATATATGATTTCTAACTTGGTTTACAAATACGTATGGAATTAAATAAGTTTGAAGATGTATATTATCATTTGTACTGAAATAGGCGAGACTCACTTAGAGATTTTAATCGAGATTTTTGGGGTGGGGTTGTGATAACAACTCAAATAATAAAAAACTGAGTTTGCCGACCTCCTTACCAAGTGTGATAACTATAGGAAAATCATAATTTCATGAAGTCAAATAAAATAACTAGGTTAATACAGTAGTTAAATATAACCCGTGTGCCTAAAAATTTGTACGGAAAAGAGAAAAATTTTGTACCAAATGTCATCTACACTACTAAGACGTATCTGACGACACTGCTTATATTAAAATCCAATAATCCGTTTAGGCTACAGAGCATGCTAAAGAAATAGACATACGTACATACTCTCAAAGAACATCACCCTCCTTCTGAGGCAGTCGGGTAAACCCCTCTCAGAGGTGCGAGAGTTGTAGCCAACAGTAAAACTTATGTACGGGTTTTCTCATTTTCGTCGTATTTTAGGAGTTGGAGCGTAAACAGCGCAAAGAGTTATCCAGACTGATGGGTGAAGATCTGACGCAGTACCGCATCAAAGGCAGCGACCTAGACTGGAATCAAGCTCTCACCACCTCCAAGCAGAAGAACATTGTTTCAGTTAAAAGGTGAATCTTTTACACACTTTTATGTTATCGCACAATTTGAAATTCTTTGCCCTCTTAGTTTCATTCGGTTGCCTAAAATCGAAGGGTCAACGCATAGTAAAAACGGAATAGTAGGATAACTCCCGCGCCGCGTGAGACTTAAATGCCTACTGTTGCAGGGTTGTCACTGTCTTTTTGTTTAACAGCTAAGTCTCATTTAATTTCATAAGTAGTTATAATATTTACAAACATAATACATACTGATACGTACTTATGCATCATATTTGTTAATCATTTCTGTAGTTTCTTCTCAAAGAATCAATGTTTGTCAAAATGAAATTCCAGCTTTACATTACAGTAAATGCCAAATAACTAAAATACGATTAAATTAACACTGAGCATATGTTCAAATTTAATGTTTTAAATTAATTTGATCTGATGTGATATGATAATTAATGTACTTATGAGGTATGTATCTGTAATATGAGGTATGTATCTATTTACTTTACAAAAAGAGAAAATAAAACTAAAGAAAGATTGCTAGCAAAATTTTATTAAAAATCAACAAAGTCTCAAACAAAGGTGATTGCGGAGCGGGGCGGTGGGCGTTCCCGACTCGGCCCGATCTTCCCGATTTAGCAATTAGTGTCGATGTGTGCGTGATGTGGCTCGTGCGTACGAGTCAGTACTGTCACGTGCAAGGCACGCGTAATAGTGGTTAAAGCCGGGGAATTCGTTTAATTTAAACAGTTTCCCAGTCCGCGCATGAACACAATAGTTAAATATTCGAAATGTTTATACAGTGGATTTCGGGTATAATGACGACGAAGGGACCACTCTATTTTCGTCGTTATATCTGAAAGTCGTTACAGGCAAAGGTAAAGAGATACAGACACCTACACATGTATAGTTTATATTCATTTATTATTGAAAATATTTGCACACATAGTTATTCATTGGTACATTTAAAAAATGCTACTCAGAATATCACTTTGTAACTGAACCATATATTTAAACCGAAACCGAAACGTACACGCTTCCCTACCTACTTAGCTGATATCTATAAACAAAAGGTAAAGGTCTCCACACTTGCTTACCATCTGTGTGGAACAAAAGATAAGAAATGTTTGTGAAAGAAGGAAGAAAAAAGAAAATCTTTGTGCCTTTGGCGGCCGACTTCGATCGCAATATCGGACTATACGGGATTTCTAGGAATTTGTTTCAAATTATTCATTAAAAATAGTAGCTACACCCGAACTCGGCGTTACATCCAAAATCGCTATAGCCACATGAATTTTGTACTAAAGTATGCTTTAAATTCAAAGGCCTTAGATTTAACGTCGCTATAGGTAAATGGTCGCTACAACCAAGGTCGTAATAAATCAAATCCACTGTATATGATTCGTGGGATAGGAAAATGGTTAATTATTAACATCATAACATGCTAAAAATTATTATTAATATACACCATTTTTTCGCATGTACGTACACATGTGTTTTAATGTGTTTCTAGGTTAATCATTAACGCTGTTTATTGTCAATTAGTCGTTTAATAGGTAGATGAAATATAAATAGCCTATAACGTTTTAGGGATATGAAAAACAAATCGATTAGACTCGCATTCATTTGAAAAAGGGTTTAATATAATATCGCCACTCAATATAAAACTAAGCACGCGTTGCATATTTTCACGGCGAGCAACCCGTGATCGATCTCCGCCGCCACCAATGTAATTGTTAATTGCAATTGTAAGTGCTCATTTGCCACGTGCCCAGCGGCGATGGGAAGCGTTCTGACAAAACCTACCAGCCTGAGAAATTAAATAAAAATATTTCGAAGTCGTGTGAAGTCCGCCAATATGCATTAAGGCACCACGGTGGGCTCTCCCTCGCCCTAAATAAAACTCCCTCAGAAATGAAGAAGGCCAGCAGTCAGACGTTTAAAAGATGTAACTTTACTTATCAGAAGCTAACATTTATGCTCGAAGGTAGCTTGACTGAAGTTGACAAATATTTTCATTGTAGCTGTTAGAAACAAAAGTAGAAAATATAACGTTACGTGTAGCTTGTAATATTGATAAGTCACTCAAAAGGGTAAAATTTCTGTTAAGAGACTTCAAAATTGAGTGTTATTTTTTTCTATTTTCCTATAAAAGTATCGGTGTACATAAACTAATAGGTAAATAAATAAGAATGAAATAATTTTTTAGGCTCTAGACTTTAATACTTTCATGCACCAGTTTAGAAGCTATTACGTGATCTGTGTAAATTGTTTTATTCATTTTAGTTTTTTAAGTTGGTTTTTATATTTTATCAAATGTTTAATTTTGAAATGTGTACTCAGTAATACTTATCTCATGCGGTAGGTGCTGCTAGATACGACTTAGGAAAATGCGCGAAAGATCTTACGACGTCTAATAGCCGGTGATCTCTTAATCATTGTCTTCAATGTAAATTCAAAATTACTAGCCCAATTTAGGTATAAGTAAAAAAATGACTGCTGTACATGCTCCCACAATAATAGCTCGGTTTGCTTAAAATGTTTGGCTAAGCAACAGGTTCGATTTCCGCAGTGTACGTATTATATTTGTTGTTTTTAATATATACGTGCATGTCCATGTTTAATTTACGGCTCTACCATATACAGTGTGCTAAGAACAGAATATCGCAGGATGCAAGAACGCAAACGTTCTACTTCTATTGCATCGTTATTGCCGCAGCAGTGTGTAAAATAGCATGCGTCGTTATCGCAGCTGTCTGATAAAACCTTTTAATATAAAATGTTGCCACAGTACATTATAAATTCCTATTGTAGTTTTAATCACAGAAATAGTAATAATAAGACAACAGAAATTAATTAGCCCTCGATTACTTCCAAAACCGATGCCTGCAGCCGTATTATAAACATACGCAGTGCACAATGATATCTAATGTTCACATTACATTTGCTTGGCGAGTTTGTCAATGTCGCGTGCGTCGCGTATTACGGTAGAACAAGAGCAGAAAAAAATTAAAGCACACAGCACTTTAATAAAAGTTTACAAAGGTAAATATCATAGTTTATCATAGTTATTAATCTATATGTAAATTAGTTAAAACCATTGTTTTAAAATTGGTAAATAAATTAAATTAGTAAATAATCACCCTACCGATGAAATTTATACTTTATATTATAATTATATTGATTATGCCTTTATTAGTTGAATTACACGTCCTTGATGAGTTTTTACAACTGATTATGCTGCAGTTCACCATTATAATGACATCAATTAACGCACGACGTTCCCCGCGCAACTAATCACCAAATGGCGAATGATATTCGTCAACATATTATAGCGGCGACAAGGTCACGTGTCTATACGACTTCTATTGTGTTATTATTACGATTTCTGTGGTTTTAATTGTAGAATATAGTGAATAAAATCCGCTGTAATCGCCTTGTTTTTCAGTTTATGTTCGCAATACCGCCATTTTAACTATTGGATCAGTAAATATTTTTTTTATTTCAGCGGTGAGAAACGCTTGGGCGACGACAGTAAAGAAATTGATGACTTAATAGAATCCCACTCCAACAAGAAGAAGAAAAAGAAGAAACATGTTAGAAATTGAATTTAATAAACGTGTTATATTTTAATAAGCCATATTTTTTATATCTACTAAAATCTTATATCGGTAATCTAATTACAAAGGTAATAAAATAGCAGCCTAATACTGCTGTGTTTCATATGGTGAGTGTAGAGATCCGGAGACCCTTTTTTACTGGAAACGAAGCATTCCATCTTAGTCCTCAGGGATGACAACGCATATGCGTTTTGATTATTAATCGAGAATAAATGTAGATGTCTATGGACCACAGCATTCCCTTACCATCAGGTGGACTGTGTGCTCGTTTGTCACCCTTATTCTATTTAAAAAAAATTACAAAGGTACAATAATGCCATTAAGAAGGCGCCATATGCGATTTGCGTCGCAAACTTCATGTTTTAGGGTTTTTTCAAGGGCGATATCGTAACGATGTGAGCAGATTATTTGCAGAAAATTACGGTTTTAGGAAGATGAAGTCTTTATTTAGTGCACTGCAATGCAAAATAATGGTTTTTAATGATGGTTTTTTTAGAGCCAAGACAATCTCGTCATAGCGTTTTACGAAAATATGCGTCAGAGTTATCATAATCGAATACAACCATTATTATAAGCTAAAATACTTTATTTTAAGCATCATTGTAATAGAATATATAGTCTTTTAGTGTATAGCAAAGCTTAAATTACGAAAATATTGTGTTTTAATAGTAAAAACCAATACTATAAAATCACCAAAACTGTCCAATGTCTTTTTCCGTGTATTGGGATATAAACTCATCTATTTTTATTATTTTATCAAAATACAGGTAATGTTAAATATCGTAAAAAAAATTTTTGCTCGTTTTATTCAGTCAATAATTTTATATAATAATTTTATAAATACTATAAATCCTCCGATTTAGTACGCTGCGGGTCGTCCCAACGATATGTATCACTTTTTCCCGCCACCGCCCGCATGCGTGTTAATTCACACCGATAGCGTAAGCTAGTATTGCCAAGTGTCCCGATTTGTGCGGGACATCCTGATTTTTAGGGGTACGTCTCGATGCAACCTTGATCGGGACACCAAATGTCCCAAATTTTCACTAAATACCCTAGTCTATATTTCATACGATCATTTTGACAGCAAAATTGAAATATCTGTAAGCTGCTACTACATTACAATACTTTTGCTTTGCATATTTTACCACCAAACGCGGACTAAATAGGCAACATCAAAGTTTGCTTTGCGCGTAATGTGTTGGCATGGCAAGATACAGATATCAATCATGCATCTATTGCCGGTTTGCGTTATGCATCGATGTCATTAATTCGACGGTCATTTATTATTTCATTCTATTCTTAATAATCAGTACAGTATTCAACTGACGTGCTCCGATTTAGATAAGTACATTTAGTAATACGCAAAAGGCTTGTGGAAAAGTTCTTCCACAAGTCAATTTCTTGAATCGTTTGTAGGTACTGTTGTTTTCAATAAATAAATAAATAAACATACGTCCGATGCAAGGATTTTATCTAGGCTATCAAGGTGTTAGGTATTAAAACCGTTTGAATTGTGCCGTTTTTAAAGGGCTTTTTGAAGTGCATGAGTTGTGAGTTCAGAAAATTGATTACTATTTTCACAATCAAAACAATCGCACATAATGTGATAAACATTTGCTAAGTTTATAATTCTTCGTCGTCGTCGTCTTCGTCGAGCCAATCGGCATTCTCAGACGATATTTCACTCATTGCCTTCATCTCATTTGCCGTGCTGGCAGCAGGTCGCTGTGACCGTACTCTACTTTCACGACGGTCTTGGGGGGCAGTTTTGCTGAACACTTAAGGCCGAATACGAAGAGAACTGGCGAAATTTAATGTATTTCTCTTCACTACAACTTTGACCTGAAGTAATTCTAAGCGTTAAAACATTTTTTGTAGGTTTGTTCGGTTCCTTCACAATGTGCCCGCAGTTTTAAAATTTTAAAATAAATTAATATACCAACAAATAAAAAAATGTTAAGAAATGATATTTAAAAATGTTTGTTCTTCCAAAACTCTGTGAATTTTAATTTAGGAAAAATTCTTTTACGTAAAAATGTTTGTATTGTGATTCCGAAGGTGCCTGCCGTCTTTATTTTCGATACAAAATATTATTTATTAAAAACACTTAATAATAATATCGTATATTACCAGATAAAAGTTTGCCGTAATAAATTACCAGGCGCTTCGACGTGTGACGTAAGGTGACAACAGTCATTGTCGAAAATCGTTAATTTAGTGTTTTATACGCGTTTAAGTGACTATAAATGTAAATATGGGTAGGAAAAGAAATAAATGTTACCTAAGTGGTAAAACAAATAGAGTTTATCGCATGAACGCTACTCGAATGTTGTATTTTGAGGTTACTTATATTTTTTGTAAGGTAATTTTTGTTTGAGGCTGCCTAATAGGCTGCATTTTTACTCATTTACATTAGATAAACTGATCATTTATACTTTTCTAGTTTCAAGTGAGAAGCACTAAAAATGTAAATATCAAGACCTAGTCGGAAAAGAATGTACAGAGTAGTGCAAGGACAGAGACCGCTAATAATGTCATAGTCAATGTATTGTCCGAAAGCATGGGGTAAGTACATAATTAAGAAAAACCGAAATACTTCGGATGTGAAGTGATTGACCAGTCGGAGTAGTCTTGTGAGAATTTACATACACAGTACCTATCCCCACTATGGGACAATCACCGACTTTTTAGTTTTTTTTTTCATTATTATTTATGCAATTTGCGTTACGGCATCTTGTAAGACACAAGAACAAACATTTTCAGTTATATGAGGTTCTTTACATACGATGCACCAATTAAGAAAAAAGAATTTATATCAATTCAATAACTTTTCGAACAATATTTTATAACGAATAAAGTACAGATTTATAATCTATAGGAACTAATATAATAAATAAGAAAGATTTATTTAAGAAGTAAGCAATGCTCTCTGTGTTGTTCATTACTCTGCATACTGAGTTAGCACAGTCAAATATAATATAATCAAAGCCCGTACGAATTTGACTATATTATACATGTCTATATAAACAAAGCGTACGGGCGGCGCGTGGTTTGCTGCGAAACGAGCAAGGTCAATCGCGTCGTATTCGGCCTTAACGACTGTGGATTTGCACACTCTTGTGCGATGTGAAGTAGATCCCTCAGGTTGGATATATTCTGTTCTTGAGGTGAGATTATACTGATGGTAAAATAAATCGTAAGCCATCTGCTTAAAACCTTCTAAAGGAGGCGATAGATCAACGGAAAACCACACAACAAGTGGTGAAAACTTGCATGATACTTTTTCTGGTTGACTAGGTGCCGACGACCTTGCTTGGATTTTATATAATTGGACAAGGGGGCGGCAGGAGAATATCCGGAAAGACAGATTTCAATGAACTCTTCGAGCGGGAACAGCAGGATTCATCCGCACATTTAATCATTTGCAAGAAATCTTGAGATTCACGGACGTAAGTGCTAAAACCACGCTAGATTAGGTTGTGCTTGATTCTGCAAGCTATCTTCGGGCTTTCTATATTTTGCAATATACTTCTAAGTAAACGCTAACGAATACTGACAAACAAATACAATATAAAAATGACGTACAATACAATCAAGGGATTCCCCGTAAAACATAAACGAGAAGGAATGCTAACTTGGGAGAACAAAATAAAACTGACGTACAAAACCATTGAGGGATTTCCCATAAAACATAAACGAAAAGGGTTGCCAACTTGGTATACTTTAATTCCCTGGTTTTTATTTAAGTAAAAAATATCAATGTTACATAACGCATTGTTCGAACCCCTCTCCCGCCCCGTAACGCATCTTAACATTTTACTAGATCCCCTAACCTCAAATTGCGTTACGTAATACTTAAACGCCCCCTTGGAATAGTAATTATTAACTATAGTTAATAACATCATACCCGCCGTGTGGTGGTGAAAAGTGAAAGAATATTTCACACCCATTTCATCCCTTTGCTGTCGTAAGATGCGACTATGGATACTACTAGAAAAATCCCATGGTTTTCGATAATTATATATAAAGCCGGATTTTCCATAATCGCCACACTTACCAGGTGAATTGACGATCGTAGTACCAGTCTCACACCTTTGACGCTGCTCCTTGTTGTTAAATAAAAAATATCCATTACGTCTGAGATATATGAGATGGATAACCGCCATCTATGGGAGGTCATAAGAACTTTGGCGTTTCTCGTAGATTCCTCTTCTTACGAAGCGACCATTCTCTACTGATGGGGTGTATTGATGTTTATTTAACCCTTCGATCCCAATAGAAATCCGATTGAGTCGCATACGCCCGGCAAATCCCGAGCGGTCGCATACAACCGCACCCACCCGCAGCACTTAAAACCATTAAAAGTTATATTTAGAGACTACTTTTTTATGAAGAAGTTTGGCATTACAAATTCTATACAAAATTCTCTATATAATAGTCAGGTTTTACTTCCTGACAAAAAGACTATTGTATTTTGATAACAAAAACAAAACATACCAAGCGAATGTCGGTAGCGTGAAAATCACAATTATTTCAATATATTTTACTCGAAATTATTTACGTAAAAAGATAAATTATATTTACACAAAAAATACTTTCAAAAAGTACACAAAAAGTACTTTCATTACAATTTTATAATAAAATATTATACTAATGCTAAAACACTAGAAAAAATCCAAAAATCAACACAATAACATTCGCGCGAAAATGGCGTACGAAATTAACGTAGAATATAACTAATTATACATAAGATAACTTGACTTTTTATTGCACTAGAGCTAGAGGATAGAAAATTTCATATTGCACATGCCAAACTTATTCATAGAAAAGTAGTCTCTAACCATCATAAGTATTTATGTGTTAAAGTGCTGTGGGTGGGTGTGGCCGAATTCCGTCACTTGGTATTTGACGGAATATCGCCGCGACCGAATTCTGAAATTGGTAGCTACCAAGCGACCGAATTCGGTCCTACTCTAACTATTAAC